AACAAGTCGCTATGTTGATAATTTACTAGGAGTTTACTACATTAATGTTTATAATTTTCCAGGAGTTTGCCTCTTTGACAAAAGAATTAAACCAAACGAGAGAACAGCTGATAGAACGAGAGGAAGAGATTCAAGAACTGAAGGCAGAAAGGAATAATATAAAGGTTAGTGAGATGACCACTGTTGTATACTATGATTAATGTGGGATTTTGTTTAAATGTTGAATCGCTCTTGGCTTTTACCCGCATTCATATCTCGTCTAAACATTGCTTCACAACTATAGAAAGACGACAGCTGCCCAACCGTTGAATAAAGGTACGTAGGATGACGACATCCGCACGACTGTAGAATAAGGATATATAGGTGACGACAGGTGGACGTCTGTAGAGTAAGGAAATTTAGTATCACGACAGTTGTTCGACTGCAGAATAAGATTATCTACAATGACAACAGTGGTACTTCTCTGAATAAGAGTATCTACAATGACAACAGTGGTACTTCTGTGAATAAGAGTATCTACAATGACAACAGTGGTACTTCTGTGAATAAGAGTATCTACAATGACAACAGTGGTACTTCTGTGAATAAGAGTATCTACAATGACAACAGTGGTACTTCTCTGAATAAGAGTATCTACAATGACAACAGTGGTACTTCTGTGAATAAGAGTATGTATAATGACAACAGTGGTACTTCTGTGAATAAGAGTATCTACAATGACAACAGTGGTACTTCTCTGAATAAGAGTATGTATAATGACAACAGTGGTACTTCTCTGAATAAAGGTATCTATGATGACGACATTTGTATAATAAAGTTATTTAGGATGACGAAAGTTTGATGCTAAAACAAATCGTAGTGGACTATCCGTGTTGTGCCCACTACGAGTATTGAAACCCGGTTTTTATCGCTGTGGGCCCTCACACTTACCGCTGAGGCACTAGAAGGCCCTATTGGAATGTGTATATCTATATATATTTCTGAAATTTTATTTATTTAGTAAACAAAATACCTCAGTAAACTAATAAAATACTTTGATTTATAAGATGGAGGACAAAAAAGGGTCATTATGTTTTCAACATAATGATTGTCTTTACTTTTCCCCTATAAAAAATAAACGTCTACCTTCCGTAAACTCTCTAGTTAGAGGTTTTTTTTTATTTTTTTGTTTAGTCAGTTAATCGTTTAATCATACGAAATCCCTATTTTATCGTGTTTGATTTTGTAATCATAATACATTCTCTTGGGTATTTATTGGGTTGATTGTTCTCTTATGCTGTTAATTTTGTAAAAACATAAAGTAACCATTGTTACAACAATAAATTTAATATAGTTTATTTTTTTCTTTCCATAGCTGCTACTGGAACACTTGGAGTGTTTGGTTGCCCGACATGAACGTTCTCTAAGAATGACCGTTGTAAAAAGACAGTCTCAGTCCCCTGCAGGAGTTTCTTCTGAAGTGGAGGTTCTCAAGGCACTCAAATCCCTATTTGAACATCACAAAGCTTTAGATGAAAAGGTTAATCTTTTGAACCACGGCTCGTGTAAAGTACTTTTTGGATAACGTGTTTCTCAACTTGTGTACTTAGGTTGCAATTTGAATTTTACTGTATCTAGGTTGAAAAGCCGGGCTTTATTGACTACAGCGAAACGTTGTCTTGGTAATGAATCACTTACCTAGCAAACTAACGACTTCTGTTATACGACATATTAACGAATCATCATTAATCTATTAATGCAGCCTAGATTTTTCTTAGAACATCAGGTGTTGTTAATTTTATTTCCAATTTTCCAGGTTCCGATTGGTGAACAAGCATCACTGAGAAAGAATATTGACAAATCATAGTTAAAGAGTAATAACAATTAATTAAATTATACTGTATGTAATGAGTTATTGGTCCAAAGAAAAGTATGGGGTGAAATACTGTTACTAGGCCTTACTCATTATACTGAAGATACAAAGAAGGCAAATGACCTTCACCAGGACCTCTGAACATAGTCACATAACAAAGCTTAATGTTCCTCCAATAAATATGTCAGTTTCATGTCGTAAATTGGGCTATATTGCAATCACTCGATACAATATTTAATGAGATTACTACTGATAATTAATTATCTTAAAGATCATTTAAAATTTCTTTAAACCCAGCTTTTTATGTGTAGTGATATCTGTTTGTATACTAGTGATAAGAAAGTTGTATTTAGTTGTATTTGTAATATTCTTGTTCCGTATTACTATCACGTATAATTCCAAAAATTCAAGTAGTTTTCTAAGGTATTAGACGTACCGTCAGTAATTTGTGTTTCAGTTGCTACAACTCTCTTACTAGACGTACCATTAGTAATTAGTGTTTCAATTGCTACAACTCTCTTACTAAATGTACCATTGGTAATTAGTGTTTCAATTGCTACAACTCTCTTACTAAATGTACCATTGGTAATTTGTGTTTCAGTTACTACAACACTCGTACTAGACGTACCATCAGTAATTTGTGTTTCAGCTGCTACAGCACTCATACAAGACGTACCATCAGTAATTTTGTTTTAGTTGTTATAACATTTATACTAGACGCACCGTCAGTAATTTGTGTTTCAGTTGATACAACACTCATACTAGACGTATCATCAGTTATATCTGTTTCAGTCGATACAACACTAATACTAGACGTATCATCAGTTATATCTGTTTCAGTCGATACAACACTAATACTAGACGTACCATCAGTAATTTGTGTTTC